CCCCTCCCCCTGTGTGCAAGATGCATGCGTGTAGTGTATGCGTGTGTGTTTTGGGAGGCTGCGATATGTTCGTGTTCGTCTCCTTGTGATAGCGCGTAACTGATGCCGACTTTATAGTGCTACCTCACTGAAACATACTGCCGAAGACACCTAGCAGGACACCCCACCCGGTCACGTTATACTGACAACGGGCGAACCAGTCGTACCACTCCTAAATTGATTTCCAGAGTCAATATATCAGCATACGTTGAATATGAGCATACATATTTCTAAGAAGAAAATTCTTTTTCGGTGTCCTTAATTGCATTTCTTTTTTACGTTACAGACGACAACCTCCTTCTTTGTATCTCGGATATTTTCGTAGCAGGGACTGAAACGTTATCAACTACTCTCTATTGGGCAACCCTCTTTCTAGTTTGTTACCCACATGTACAAGACAAAATGAGGTCAGAGATACAGAAAGAGGTTGGGATGAATCGTCTGCCCTGTCTCAGTGACAAGTCAAACTTGCCCTACTCAGAAGCAGTCCTTAATGAGGTTCTGCGTTGCGGTAATATTATGCCCTTTTCTCTCCCTCACACTGTTACGAAAGATATAGTCATTGACGGATTTACGATTCCAAAAGGAGCATACGTTGCACCTAACACAGGTTCGGTCCTAAACGATCCTATTGAGTTTGAGAATCCGGAACGTTTCTATCCTGAGAGATTCATCGACAGTAATGGAATGCTATTTGGAAACGAAAAGGTGGCTTTGACGTTTTCCATATGTAATACACCATGTCAGATTAATATGTTAAATTTCCCTTTTTATGCTCATTTACTTATATTTTCGGTATCTAAAACAATAGATGTCATATCTAGTCAATTCAATAAACATGTATTCTATGTATTTTGAACATTCACTGCTTCTTTGCTCTTTTTTTTCAAAAAGGAAAACGAGTCTGTATTCGAGAATCGATAGCCCGAATGGAACTCTTCTGCTTTTTGACATCATTGGTACAACGCTTTCGGCTGCTGCCCGAAACTGATGGTGTTTTTCCAAGTCTTGATCGAATCGAAGGAACTGTCGGATCGCCAAAATATTTCAACGTTCGAGCCTTTAAAGTTCACAATGGATAAATTCAACATCCTCATCTTTGACCAATCTATATGTTGAATAGCCAAACTGGTGTCTTCAAAAATGGTATTTTAAAACCTACGCCTTGTCAATATAATAAAATGTCTTTTCATTGATTTTGGTGTAATCTTGGATTTTGCTGCATTTCTTTTTCTTATTATTTCTTTCTTATTTTCATTCATACTTTCTTCATTTTCCTCTCATAACTATTGTTATTGTTCTTCCAATTAATAGTTTCCTGTGTTTTTCACATACATATCTGGCATAATACTGATGAAACTTCACGTCAGTATTGGGAGGCATACAATGTATGTAGATGTGTGTAACGCGTTCCATTTTCCAATCGGTCACCAAACATGGCCGATGTATCCTCTGATTGATATACACATTAATTGGTATAAGCCAAGGTGATGCCATCGTTTCCTGTCTATGTCTTCGGGTAGCCATGATGCATCATTTGCGACGATAGGGAGGGAGGAGGCAGTTGGGGGGACTTGTTATCAGTCTTCGTAACAATTAAAACTTGTTGCGATTTGTCGTTGTGTAATGAGACTATAGCATGTATTATGCATAAGTTAGCTTTGGATGAACCCTACTGTACATATTATTTCTATATAATTTTTGTGTAGTGAGACTGTGATATATCAATTTCGTATCACTTGTATTCTACATATCATATATGCGAAGAATTTATTATAATTATTTCTGAATTATCTGTATGGATATTTAAACTATGGTATATAAAAGGATGTATTATTCTTAATCCAATTTCTAAATTTCTTACGTATTGTGACTATTATCTTACCTAAAAATTTAATATAAGGAAACAACTATTTACGTGGATTCCAAAGGTAAACAAGGCCATTATTTACTGCACCACAGTTATTACGCTTCTAAAGGTCAAACTCATGGATATTCTTATCCATATGTAGATACAGCATTAATAAAGTCTTGTAAATCCCTTTTATTCCATGTGGCCACAACAGATAATTAAATAATAAACTATTTCATGTTAGGTTTTATTTGCTGCACGTCCTATTAACAACAATGATCATTTAAGGACGAGTCAGGCAAGTAGGCCTCGAACCCACAACCCAGTGGATGGGGCTAGTGACAGTCAAACGCCTTAACAACTCGGCCATCGTGGCCTTAACCATTTCATGTTGATCTTGTATGATAATTAATGCTGTATTACATGTATGGTGAAATATTGTATTTACTATTGATTATGCGTATTAGACAGGTCGTGGAATAGGTGTATGTTTACATTAATTCAATTTACATATATCTCAAAACAGATTCGTTATTTGATATGTTTCAAAGCAACGTGACAGATATAGATCTGTCATGCTTTAATTTGAATATATTAAGTCGTAATCCGCTTGACAGCGACATCTTATATTTTTAAGACCAAAAAAGTCATAATGTGGGTAAAAAATGGAGATTGCTATCGACAGAAATAAATATTTCTTTTCAAGTGTTTGCAAATATTTTTGTTGCATGTGTTGTACAAATGTAGATGGTTTGCATATATTAAACAGCCATAAAATTCATGATAAAAGCCGTTCTTTTAGTGCATATGAAACACTAAACGAAATGCATAGGCAAGGTTTTCCGAGCTTTCTATGTTTTACTTGATCAATCATTAAGACATATGAGACAGTGATGTATAGAATCTCTAAATATACATTATGGTAATATACAATGTACAATACTTATTTACACCCCTGCAGGTTGGGGATCGAGGATAGAATACACCTGCTAGTATCGTAGGAGGCGACTCATGAAAAACCCCTGCATAAGTGGGGATTTGCTTTGGTGTCCTCTATTTGGGGACACAAACGCGACCAAAATAAATTTGCTGCGCCCATTGCAATATTTGGGATATTAATCTTTCTTTCTACTTCTTACTTTCTTACTACCTTTTATTTCCTTGCGCATTGCTTGGCTTGGCTTGACTGTTGAGCGTTCGCTCAGGTGAGGAGGGCAATGGCTTTTGTCCACACGCCGGGACATACCAAAGTCCTTAAACAAGAGATCACAGAGGGATCTTGGCGCCCTCCATTGTACCATCTTCACTAGTTCTGTGTCAGTTCGATCTTTTCTGTTCTTTTCTCTAATCTGTTTGATCGAGCCATGTTAACAGTTAATGCACCTTGAGGTAACTTTTGATCTTTACTTAATACTGCTATGTATAAAAGACAACCTTCAAAGTGAGTTTCTCATTTCACATATTTACTAGTACAGTACTTAATGTGAAAGAAATAGAATCGATCATAGATCTGTTTATTTTCTTCCTTTCGCCATTTTGTTTTTATGATCGGTCTCAAAATATAACATGCACAACGAGGGATCAAGGGGAACTGTCATAATCAAAGATTTGTTTATCCCATAAGCCTCATAAGAAAATATGCATAACTTCATACCAAGGGGAAACTACATATTTGTTTTTAAGAAAGATCTCTCCAGTACTTCCTAAGTAATAGCTATAACAAACCTTCACTGTCAAAGTCCAAGATGACTGCCTGTCTGCCATTTTGTTTATCTGATCAGTCTCAAAAGTAAATATGCACAACTAAAGACCTAGGGGAACCTACATATAAAGTTTTAGAAACATCCCTCTAGTACCTACTGAGAAATAGTGATAACACACCTTTAATGTCACAATACAAGATGGTGGCCTGTCGGCCATTTTGTAAATCCTATCAGTCTCGAAATTAAACATGCAAAACAACAGACCAAGGAGAACCAACATATTTAATTTGAGATGAATCTCCCCAGCACTTCCTGAGAAATAGCCATAACAAACCTTCAATGTCAAAATCCAAGATGGCTGCGTGTCGGCCATTATGTTTATCCATCAGTCCCAACGGCATGCACAGCTAAGGACAAAGGAAAACCTACATATAAAATTTGAGAAAGATCCCTCTGGTACTTCCTGAGAAATAGTGATAACAAACCTTCACTATCAAAATTCAAGATGGCTGCCTGTCGGCCATTTTGTTTGTCCGATCATTCTCAAAATTGAACATGCACAACTACAGATCTAGGAAAGTTTACATAAAAAACTGAGGAAAGATCCCTCCAGTACTTCATGAGAAAAAGTGATAAACCTTTAATGTCACAATCCAAGATGGTGGCCTATCGTCCATTTTGTTTATCTGATCATTCTTAAAATTGAACATGCATAATAACAGATCACTGGGAACCTACATGTAAAGTTTGAAAAACATCCCGCCTGTACCTACTGAGAAATAGTGATAACAAACCTTTAATATCACAATCCAAGATGGTGGCCTGTCGGCCAATTTGTTTATATGATCATTCTCAAAATTAAACATGCACAACTACAGACCTACAAATGTAGGGAAGCCTACATAACAAACTTAGGAAAGATCCCATCAGTACTTCATGAGAAAAAGGGATAACACACCTTTACTGTCACAATCAAAGATCGTGGCCTATCGGCCATTTTGTGTATTTGATCATTTTTAAAATTAAACATGCACAATTACAAATCACGGGGAACCTACATATAAAGTTTGAGAAACATCCCTCCAGTACCTACTTAGAAATAGTGATAACAAACCTGTAATATCACAATCCAACATGGTGGCCTGTCGGCCAGCTTCTAAATCCGATCAACAGACCAAGGAGAACCTACATTTTTAATTTGAAATGAATCTCTCCAGCACTTCCTAAGAAATAGCTATAACGAACCTTCACTGTCAAAGGCCAAGATGGCTGAGTGTCGGCCATTTTGTTTATTCTTACAGTCCCAAATTTTTTAAAACATGCACAACTAAGGACCAACGATAACCTACATATAAAATTAGAGAAAGATCCCTCTGGTACTTCCTGAGAAATTGCCATAACAAACCTTCAGTGTCAAAATCCAAGATGGCTGCCTGTCGGCCATGCTGTTTATCCAATCAGTCTCAAAAGTTGCCCTGCACAATAAGGGACCAAGGGGAACCTACATATACAATTTGAGAAAGATCCCTCTGGTACTTCTTGAGAACAGTAATAACAAGAATTGTTTAAGGACGGACGCACCACGGACGCAGGGCGATTTGAATAGCCCACAATCAGATGATGATGGGCTAAAAGGGTAGTTGTAAATCCCTGGTTAACGTTCAGCATTAAGGGGGAATGGCAAAAACTGGTTCACCCGTTATCAGTATAATATGACCGGGCGGAATGCTGTGCTTGGTGCCTTCGGCATGGCATTTCAGGAAGAAAGTCGGCATTATATCCGCTCTATCACAAGGAGACAAGCTCACCAACATACCCTGGCTCCTGCACACACACAAGCGCGCGCAAGCACACACTCCACACATGGAGGCACGTCCTTAAATGACCTTAGCTGTTAATAGGACGTTAAACAAAATGAAACCAAACAATACTTATTAGGGCCCCGTATCGGAGATACGGGTGCCCTATAGTAATCACTCTGTCTGTCCGTCCACAAATTTTGTTCCTGGCTAATAACTTTGGTATTAATTGACCGATTTACATGAAACTTGGTCAAGATGTTCAGTTCACAAAAATACACATTCAGGCAAAAAGTCAAGGTCATAAGGTTTAAAGGTCCAGGTCAAATATTGTATCTTTTCAGTGATGAGCATTTTGTTATGACACGATGAAGCAAAGTTGATCAGAATTAAACAAGGAGTCAACTGTCCAAAGGTCAAGGTCATCGGGTCAGAGGTCTAGGTCAAAGGTCAAATTTCGTAGCTTTTCACTAATGAGCATTTTATGACATAATGAAGCAAAGTTGGTCGAAATTAAACAAAAAGACACACTGAGATAAAAAGTCGAGGTCAAAGGTCAAGGTCATTAGGTTCAAAGGTCAAGGTATATTTTTGCATTTTTTCAATGATGAACATTTTGTTGACACTATGAAGCAATGTTGGTCAGAATTAAATAAGGAGTCAACTGGACAAAGGTCAAGGTCATTGGATCAAAGGTCAAGGTTAAATTTTGTATCTTTCC